CAAATTATCTTAACTCAAATAATATTAAAAACTATTTATTGATTGATATTCTATAATAGGTACTTCTGATCTTTAAAAGTTGCACTCTAGCCTATAGATACTATATTTCACTATCGAAAAAATCATAAGAAATATAAGAAAAACGTATATAACTTTAAAATAATTGCACCACTTGCAGAATTCTATTTTTATGCGATATAATACTGGTAATTAAAATTAAAAAAGTATAGATTGTAATGAAAAAGATACAGAGACTGTATTTAGAGTACTCTTATTATCCATGTGCGAGCAATTGTTATATTACTGAGATGAGCATATTGGATGTTGATGAATAATCGCACATGAAAAATCATTCGCTGAGCATTCTACAGCGGTAAATAGTTGTAATGTTTTATGAGATCCTCGTAAGCTTAACATTTTAATCATTCATAAAAATAAGTACCTATATCTGCCTACGCTATTCCTCTATTCGAGTGCAAAGTAATAATTTCTTAAGTTACTATAAAATTATTGATAATTTATTAGACGTCGAGTCTTAATTGGCTTAATTACCTAAATTAGAAAATGTAAATATATATATAACCGGAGTAATTACTTCATAATACTTGAATTACACTTGAATGACGTCATTATGCTTCAATAAAGCCCACCATCGCACTCACAGGCCACAGCCAACACCGTGATGAACTTAAAATCGGCGTTAAGAGTTATTCTGAAAAAATATAATTTCCACGTACCTACCGCAGGCGTACAATTGTATTTACTTATAGTCAGCTATTAAATGGGTTTTTTTTTAAACGGTAAGTATACATTTCAAAATTTCAAATACATCATTATTATAGGCATGCCTGTACCAAAATGGTATTTTGTGTTCGTTTACAATAGAAATATTTTCGTAGCAGTAACGTTGTCTGATTGAATTTGATTGACACTAATATAATATTGTGTGTGCGACCACCATCCGGAATGGTGACATCAGGTCTAGGTCAAAAAAAAAAAAATAAAAATACATTAAACTAATACCTACCTACTGGCTACTATAGTATAATCCCATTGCTTCCCTCGAAATCTAATATAATTGTATAATGTACAGAGACCGACGGCATAGATATAGTTGTACGTGTTAGTCGAGTAAATTGGTAATTCCTTTGATAATACCTATATCTATTGTGTTCTGCTGCCGTATACACGCCGTCTGCACAATTTTGCCGGTTTAGACGCTGTATTTTAAATTACATAATAAGTTAATAAACAAAATGTATGGTACCACCGTCATCAGAAATTTTATTATTTTGTCATATATACGTACACGGGAAGTTTATACGCCATGGAATAAGACCCGTTGTTTTTTTTTTTTTTTTTTAAATCATTTACCAGAGCTTTTTTTCTGGGTTCGAATCACCTGGCCTCCGGGGTTCTAATATTAGCTGAATAAATAATATTATGCTCACTCCGTGATTGAATTTAACAACCATAATACGACACATAAGAGTAAAAGGTATTAAAAATAGTCCAACATAGTAAAATATTACAGATGGGTACGATAGAATTCAATATCCATCGATTTACGCTTTTATTGCAGATGTTATCCGTTTAGAAAACATTTCAGTTCAAAAGGAACATTAATTGAAAAACAGATATTTTTATTACATCAAAACAGCTGTTGGTATCAATTTTGTTCATTATAATCGGAACAATTATACATAATTTCTACCGCATGTGTGGATACTATATTGACATATTTTTGACTATACGTAATAGTATTATATAAAATATCAAAGCACGTTGAATCCCATTTCATCCTATAATAATGAAATTGTTCAAATTTAAATTTTTGAAATTTCTGAGCCTATTTAGAGGCCATTTTATGAAACAAACTTGTTTTTTTTTTTAATAATCACACCCTTTTGATTTGCAAATTGTTAAGCTAATGATTTTTGTAAACGTGTTGACGCGTCTAATTCTAAATTCAAAAAGCTATTTATAGATGTATTAAACACTTTGTGTGCTATACAAATAAAAATTATATAGTCAATGACAATAGGTTTGGAAAATTCAAATCATTGAGGTACCTATATTAATTTATTCGAGTTTTGTAATTTGTTGAAATTCGATGAAAACAGTATGCTTTATTACGTATAATATATTTTAGATTGTATGCGAAACCATCATTAGATATTATCAACCTTTCTTAGGTATATAAATGTCAGTGACTCGACATGGATACATCATTTTTGGTAATTCACTTATATATGTATAAAAAAATATATATTCATTTATCTACACGGGACACTCCAAAAGCCTTAAAAGGTATAAAATGCTAAGTACCTATTAAAAATTATAGTCTTTAAATGTACTTAAAAATGTCAAAAATCGAAATGTAGATAAATGCGTTATTAAAAGATAAAAAAAAAAGGAGGCGGGAGCGGTGCTTCGCGAATCACCTCGACGTATATAATATATACAATATTATGCTACTGTTAGCTTTCCGATCAATTAAGTTAAGCCACGCGTATATAAGTGGGTGCAATATTTTTGTTTGTACAGCACTTATATAACCTCCAGTTTTCGATAACCCGTCAAACGAATGTTGGTGCAGTGGAAACATGTTGTCCGTGGAAAATTCGTTTTATATGTTTATTTCATTCCTCGAAAACCCTATGCACTATATTCTGCTCCACGACTCGTCAGTCATTAATCATTATCGCGATTAGAAAAATATATTTTTCATTGTTGTGGCTTTATTATTCTTACCGCATAAAGTATTAACAGTAATATGTATGATCAGCTGTATTCTCTTTTTTTTTTCAACTCACACGCTATTATAAATGTGTTTTGCCATTAAAAATTTGTTCGAATACCGGAATAGATATTTATTTCATACAAACAAAAAAGAAATTCGAAACCATTTGTTTATATGAGTGAGACTATACATATAGTATACATTTCATTCGCGGACTAACTATAATAATAATTATTATGTACTCTCCGGTTGTCTTTTAATTTTTAATATGTATTACTATGATTTTTCTGATATATTTTACTGTAACTAAGTAATGCGATGATACTCACAAGGTCCTCGGGTACGATTAAAACACTATATTATAGGATTGAACAATAATTATTATGAAACACAATGTCGAAATTCGTTTAAACTACTTACCTAAAGTATTGTATATCTATTGTAATACACGTGTGATAAAAAAATTGTTGCACAATTATTATGATGTGTTATTTTTTGAAAATGCTAAGTCTTGGAATTCGAAATAATATTCTAATACTAAAGCCTGTGTATTTAAAAACCATTATATACATTTCTAGACTTTTTATAAGTTGGTCATGAAGGTAACAGTTGAGTGAAGATTTCAAAATGTATCCAATATAATTTAGTTATAATATCATAGTACATATCTATTAAATATGTCAATACATCGTGTGCCTTGTAATAAAAAGTAAAAACTTATGTGTACAAGATTCTAAAAATGCAAAAAATAAGTCAAAATTCCATTTTAAAATTCATAAAACTATTGCTACACAAGTATTTTTAGATTTTTAATATACACAAAATTATTCTATTATAGTATTTTTATAATACAACTCTATTGTTGTTACTTGTTTTAATAATTTAAAAATATGATAAAATACAGGTACTTACATGATATCATGGTTAACTTGTAATACATTTTCGATAGTTTATTACTGTCGAATTCAATTTAGAATAATAGTGCAATCGACTTTAATTACAAAACATTAAAACCATAGTTTTTTTTAATTAAAGCAAAGTATCATAATATTATACAATAGTTGTATAAAAACCAGTGTGTAAAATATTTTATCCAAAATGTTATACCAACGTAAAGATTCACTCTAAAATAAAATAGGTGTTATCTATAAAATATATATAGTTTATTGTTATCCGGTTTTATTGTTAGTTCTGCTACATTTTGAAAAATATGAATTTTTTTATGATTTTTAGAGTAATGGTATGTACCTATCTCGGTATGAGTTTAATTTAATTTAAATTGTACAGTCGTACTGTCAATAAATCCGGCATTAAGCCTTTTTTCCAACCAATAACGAATAATTCGATTTGAAATGTGTCAGATTTGATAAATCTGATCTTGCATTAATTTTGAAACTAAATAACGACATTTCTTTCTTTTTTTTTTTTAATCGAATTTTCAAAGAACATTTAAATTGATACACAAATTAAAGCCAAGAAAACAAATTTAATTACCAATCAATATTAGAGGACAGAATTAAAAAAAATAAAAATAAATAGATTTCTTCTTTTCTCGATGATGTTATGAATATATATTTTTATAACGATGAGTGCAATATACACGAGCTTATAAATGTACTTCTCCGTTTTATCATTGTTATTTCGTCGTAAATTTATAGTTTATTATATTGACATTGAATAAGACAAAAACATATAATAAGATCAGTGGCCATATTGCCATAACGTCGGTCGTGTAGTTGTGTTGTGATTGCATCTGATAACTCGTTTATTGCTCGGCATATACGAAAATGGTCCGAATAAATATGTCTTTTGCCGTTCTTGTATAAACTTGCTCCGATAAAGTTTCGAACGCAGAAAAAGGTTCTCTTGTGGACTAAACGTCCATATCTGTTAACATAAATAATATGCCATAAAATGTTCGATTGCAATCTATTAGGGGAGGAGTATATTTTCGTATTATATTATCTAAAAACATATGAAAGGAGTTTTCGATGAAATCATTGTTATATATTTGTAGGAGAAATGTCCAGAGAGCGAAGTTAACTACACAACTATACAAAGTTATACTTTTCTTATATCAAAAAAAAAAAGAACAATAAGACAGGCTTACATTAAATCATAATAAGACGTACTTCTATAAATATTTCGTATATAATTATTTCCATCTCGTTCGTTTTTCAATGCTACCACATTATATAGGTACCTACATATTGAGTCCTACAACTTTCTGTGACTAATAACAATTTGTTTGTTTCAGTCGCCTTACCGATAGCCGGAGATGGACAAAATGAAAGTGTAGCAACTGCTACCGAACTCCAGCCCACCGCCGAACCACAAGTGTCCACGACCGAGAAAATTGTCGAGACCACTATTCAACCTATAGATACCACGACCGAGATTGTGATTTCGACCGGAGTCGAACCAGTAGAGTCGACGACCGAGGACTCGGTTCAGACCACCGCTGAACCTACAGACACCACGACTGAAATTGTGTACGAGACCACTACCGAACCAGCAGAATCCACGACCGAGAATGTGGTCGAGACCACCACTGAACCAACAGAGTCCACGGCCGAGAATGTGGTCGAGACCACCACCGAACCGTTAGAATCGACCACCAGTAGCACGGGAGTGGATGAAACAACGACGGCGGTAAATAAAACGATGCCAGCAGAAGTAGTCAAGGACAAGCTGAGCGAACAGATCAGAAAAATCCTGAAACACTACCAGCGACCTGACCCCGTTGGCTTTCCAGGAGCCCCAATTCCCGATCCACTTAGCATACCCCCCATGAACAAAGACTTTGGCATGGCGTACATGACGTTCAAAAACATGACCGTACACGGACTGTCCAAGTTCAAAGTAGAAAACGTCAATACGGACTTAAAAAACATGAAAGTACGTGTTTTTCTTTAAAAAAAAATTAAAATTAAAAATAGAGCTCTGTCCATGATTGAGCACGATAATAATATTTATTTATTTAATTCATATATATTTATTAATGGGCATTGTCCAATGGTACAATGTACATACATTACCTAGTGATACCTATTGAGAAACTTAATAAACTTGATTATATAATTTTAAGAGATAAATATAGTTGATTATAAAATTAAAGACTTCAGAGAGTGGTATTTTGTGATCATTGGTCAATTGGATCAGCTGATCTATTGGATCGTTCATATTTACTACCATAGTTAGTATATTGTGAAGTGTGAGTACTATGCGAGGAAGGGAAATAAAACTGCAGCAATACCTGTTGAATTTATAAATCAACCAGGCTGTTTCAAAATATTATGTGACCATAGATGAATATTGCAAAACAAGACAATAACTACATAATTTCCACTAAGTATTCATTTTCACATCGCATAGCATTACAATATCACAACAATACCTAGTGTTTCTATTGCGAGTCTATAGTAAAAAATTATGTCAACTGTAATTATATCGATGACCGCGTAATGACCAAAATTATTATAAAATATAGGTGAAACTAAATCTTAAGTTGTATCATGTAAGGATTATAGGTGGGAAACATTCATAATATCTCTGTATTGGACAACAATGAAGTGCTCAAGGAATGACTACAAAATATTCGATTTGTTTGAAGAAAAATTAAAACGAAATATAAAATTATGAGTTTAAAATTTACGATCCCCTACGATTGGAGCCCGGGTCGTGAGCTTATTTTTGTCACCTAAAGTATAATATGATAACAATATCATTGAGAGCATATTTACGGCTATACAACGTGGCCTGAGAACAGTCAAAAATTCATATCCTCCGCCCCCTTTCAAAAAAGCTGAGCAGCCCACTGCCGGACAATACCACGGTGTATTATATAGCGAATACCTATACCTACCACTGTAATAATAATTAGTATGGGTACGCTACATATTTTGGGTTCGTCTGATGTGCTCAGAGCTCAGTCCTGTGACACAATAATATATTATGCTCTTTAATCGCATGCATTCGTTACAACTGTGATATAATGCATGTATTTTTTAAGAAATATTATATATACTCACTTTTTGTGACGTTAGGATTTTTATAACGGAAAACTCCGACGTAACTGTACATCGAAATTCGAACGGGTAATCTCGAGTTAAAAATACATAATACAATGTGCATGACGTTTGCTACAAAGACGTCGCAGTTTACGGACACAAATTAAATTTTGAACTTTTGGGAGCCACTTACGTTTCACAAGTTTTTTTTCATCCAAATCTATTACAATCTCCCCCCACTTTAGAAGACCGTAGTCACAAAACGCCGTTATTTCGATTTCCGAAATCCATTCAAGTGCCTGCCTATATTATTATAGTACGTTTATAGTGCGTACATAAATAGCCTATAATCTATACTGTAGACTCTATACCGACTATACCTATAACAACAATACTACAGTATAGGTATTTATGCCACTAAGCCTTTTTGAACACGGGCTACACACGCGCGGTCTTCGGGCATATTTTCACAAAAGTTATTATATTGTAATAAATTGTAGATGCCTCTATATATTACCTATAATACGTCATCGGTGTTTAATAATATAATAGAGGCACAGTCCGCAAAATATACCATTGCAACACCACTCAATCGAATCTTTATTGGCATTCCGATGCGGTGCTCCGATAAAGTAAATATTTTATCCAAGTACCTATACGTTTTTATACATGAATAATAATACGTTTTGACGCGTGAATTTGTTTGAAATATACCCTCGGCTATTTGATCGTTTCTTTGAAACCGTATATCGTTGGTATGTTATTGGCTTCTAAGTACAGAGTTATTGTCAACAGAAATAGTTTATAATGGCGGTATGTTGATAAATATTATAATTTGAACAATTAACATATTTCTATATCGTAACGATCGTATATTATATGTAACAGTGGCCAGGTCGACGAATTGCAACACGTTCGTTTTGTGCCACAAATTTATAGGTAATAGTTATAACTCATAAATGAAAATGATTTTTTAAAACAAACAAATTGTTGGATATATGGCCAATTTATTAACAAACCTAATAATTAAGTTTTTATGTGCAAAAATTCTACTAGGTGTGCCCATTCAGATGCGTACTGTAACTTGTTCTACTAATAGCGAATACAAAAACAAACGAAATCAAACATAATTTTATAAGCAGAAATCTTATTTTCTAGGTTAGTAAGATCAATAATCAATTGATAGAATAACAGTTTACACTTTCTGTCGATGAAGCTTAAGGATGAGGTGCATCCCAAACGGCTCCCATCTATTGTTTGCTTATCCCCAAACTACTATCGTTGAAAAAGTTTACACTCAAATTTACAATATAATATATGACTTTTACATATTTTTTTTATATTTTTAACCCTAAAATTAAAAAAAAACAACATATTTTTTAATGTTTAATTCACGATATCAAATATACGTATAATTTTTTATATAGTTTTTTAAATTTATTTAGAATATAAATTTTTAAAAAAACACCAACACTTTTTTAACCACACCTCTCTCGGGACAGCCCTAAGTCTGTAAGACTGGAGCCGTTTAGGAAAAACGGTCTACGTCCGAAAAATGATCAATACCTACCTACCACGTGTTTTCATTTAACATTTGAAACATCTCTTACACCAAGCGCAGTATGTATGTCAGACATTGCTTTACATAAGAACATTGATTAACGGTGATGGGATATGTGGCAATAAGTGCCACGGAGTACGATTTACAAGGGGCATGGGAAGGGCAGGGAAAACAGGAGGAGACCTCAAAGGGCTGTGTATAGCATATTTTAGGTTGCCTTCTCTCTCCACTAAAATCGCATACGACCCGATCCGCCCCGACTCATCGTGCAGACGAGCTCTAACGGTACAATGGTGTTAGCAGGTGTACGTGTTGCTGAAAATCAAGCGGATGTACGTGCTCGGCAACTATACTCTGAGATCGTGGCTGAGCCGACCGGCGTCTGGCCCGTTCAACGTGACGCTCATCGACGTGGAAGCCGCCGCCGAGGCTGCGCTCGAACCGGACGAGGACGGCAACCTGCAGGCCACCGAGACGGAGATGGACATGCAGTTCAGGGACTGCGAGCTGGACTTCAAAAACCTCGGGTTCGCAGCTTCCATGATGCAGGGCATCATCAGCACGATGGGATCGGTGCTGTTCGAGGGCATCAAGCCGTTCATCATCACCGAGGTGAACACCAACCTGCGGGCGGACGTCAACGCCCAGGTGAAGGCCATCACTAGCAAGCTGCCCAAGATGACGGTACCGGTGCCGGACATGGCGGTGGCCGAAGGACGGGCGTACGTCCGGCGCATGGGCTTCGACCCTTACCACATCGCCGACCGGCACATCGCCGAGGGCCCCCTCAACTTCACCATCACCGAGCTCACGGTGTCGGGGCTGTCCGAATTCAAGCGGGTCGGCGACATCGGGCTGCAGATCCGCGGCCCCGTGCTCCAGATGTCCGTCCACGTCATCACCGGCGCTGTCAACGGATCGCTGAGGTGGAGCTACCTGCTGGGCCTGACCAAGACGTTCGGTCGCACTGGAGTATCCAACTTCACCGTGGACCACATCCAGGTCCGGGCGCTGGTCAACCAGACACTGGACATCCGCAACAAGCCAGTGCTGGAGAAGCTCGACATCGAGGTTGGCAAGATCGAGGTGCAGATGGACAGGAAGGAGCCGCTCGACTTCGTCATCGAGATGGCAGTCAACTCGCTGCCGTCGCTGTTACGGCACATCATTGTAGACGCGCTCGAGGAGCCCATCAAGATGAAGGTGCAGACCATACTGGACGAAGTTCAAGTCGAGAAGCTGGTCGAAGACAGGCTGCCCGAACTCGACCGGATGGTCGGCGATTGAATGCCCGTCCACCCACTCCCATGCCTACCCACCCACCCTTATCATCGCTCCCTTTCCATCTACCCACCCGACTGCAAGTTCTTTCTTAAAGTTATGTGACTATGATAAGCTATAATTTAATATTTATAACCACCAGCACAGGTACGATAGGAATCATTATTCATTATTTTAACCAATGTATACGACTATGTCTCTGCAGTTCTGAGCACCCAAATCTCTTTAAACATCTTTCTCTCAGTCAGGCCTACTCTTTCCGATAAAAAGTCTTCAGCTAAGTTTCCATTTCAAACGACGGTGGCTCCCTAGGTTTCATTTATCTTTTCACAATAAACCTTGACGAGTCTAGTCAACGGCCTCGTTTGCCCGTCATTTCTTTCAGTCCTCCATCGCATTGGTACATAATCTTTTCTTTCAACTTCCTATGAGCATCTACCACGCAAAATTCTTGACCACATATTTATAACCTTCAAACGTACAAGAAATATTATTTTGGTATACCTACGTAATAAGATCCAGTTCCAGCAACATATTGACGTTTACTTAGACAAATATTATAATACACCATCAATCTTATGAAGAACTCATCGTGTGTAAAGGTATTACTTATTACCTACTTACAGTAATTAGAGGTTTTTTTTTTTATTAAGTAGGTATTTTTATTTTAGTACCTATGGATACTTAATATATGTATGTTACATTCGATTAGCGTCCACAAATTTCAAATTTTAAAACCTATTACCAATATTCGATTAACATGCATATAGGTATAATGTATAATAATATTATTACATTGTTTACGATATTTAATTTTGTATGTTCACGTAATAAAACTGTATCGCAGATAATAATATATTATATTACCTACCTAACTATTATTGTAACTAACGACTCGTAATACTATAGTCTATAGCTAATTTGATAAAATACACAACAGATTTGTTTGTTACAATATCATAAACTTAGAAATGCGTAGTACATTACTCAGACGATTCGTCGTTTGGATTTTTCTACACAAACATTATTATTACGAAACGCGTATTATGTAGGTATACATTTCGATGTTTGTCTATTTTATCTATCACGATTGTAACATCCTGAAAATATAATATATAATAATGTGTGTTAACTGTGTGATGGACATTGTATTTGTGTGTAATTTTATATCTCTAGCTGTTTCATCATTTCCAATTATTAAAGAATATAGGTCATATATATATTGCGTCTAAAGGGTTTTATTATATGAATATAATACTAATGTAAATTAGAACTGTTGTTCTAAGGCGTATTACAAAAATTGACCTTTTATACACTTTAGGCAGGTCCAATTTTTATAATCGTTTCTGTGTTACAAATATAGGTATTATTTATTATTACACACGGGCATTTCCAATTTTCACCAAAAAACTGTTTAGGTATTATCTGTATGTGGCAGTAGAGCAACTAGAAAATGTATGGGATGGGGGGGGGGGGTGTGGTGCTAAACTATAGTTAAAATTTCATTCATACATTCTACATACATGACTTTTTTAATAACGTCAACAATAACACTTTACTCAATGGAAATTAGTTTTAAAAAGGTTTTTCGTTACAATTCCGTTCGTTTGAATAAAATATAATATACTCATACTCATATACCTACCCAATAAAATTACTTCATCGTTACTGCAATAGTAATTTCGTTACAGTCATTTTTAATTTGCATTACATATTACCTACTATACCAAACACTGCTTATTATAACTATAAGTAGGTAGGTACACTCTTAGGTTTTTACACTTATAACTTAGACTACCTAATGAAATACAGGCGATTTTGAGGCAATAGATGCTAGGCATAAGCGCACATTCAGTCTTAAACTTGGGAGTGCTAAGATTTTTTACCGCAAAGTGACTCGGAGGGGTACATACCAAGCATAAATTAATTGCATTTCAAATAAAATTATAAATTACCACATTAAAAGAAATCGAAGAAGCTAGTGAACCTGATTTTCAATAAAGAATCTTTTTTGACCGATATATTTTAATTTATAACCAATTAATACAACGACTATTACATTATTCGATGAACAAGAGATGCAATCAGGATCATCCACATTTTCACTACTTTCATCATTTTTGTTTTTTATTTGTTTTATTAAATTTAAATATACCAGACATTTTTAAACAATAAATAAATGTTAGTGGCATTAGTGTATTACCAATACAAACTGGACTAAACGCTTTCTTTCAAATGCAAAATTACACTTTAAACAATATTTTTAACTCAAAATAATCTGGGGGTGCTAACTAAAGACTTGGGGTTGCTAAGTATTCTCTGGCACCATCGTATGACGTATGTATACCAACGATGCTCAGTATTGTGGTTTTAATAAGAAGTTTAAGTCAAGAATATTCTATGAGTGCAGCATATAGATTGTTATATCTACCGTTATAACATAACAATTTACAGCTGTCTTTAGATATGAACAACGCAATGTCAATGTGTCATTATCGTGAAAATGTATATGTAGTATGTACGCAAATAAATTTGGCACAAAAAGGCTGCAAAAAAAAACGTACCTTTTTCTCTTGGAGCAGATGAGCTGCCACCGTCTATCGCTAACCCACGAGGATTAAAATCGTTTGGCACAATTAGGCAATAGGCGGGTAATTCCTCAACGAGCGGTCTAAAAAGGATTTCTTCATAATTTGTTTTCGTATTATATTGCACTATAACAATACAATAATGTGTATCAATATACTATCAATACCTAATCATACTTTATTGTTTGAAAAAAAAATGCGAGTTATTTCAAATAAAATTTTGACAAAAGTAAATTAGAATTATTGTACTCTCGCGTCGCGGGGTTTCTTCCCCGATTAGTTTTAGTATATTAATAAGAAATACAATATATATATAGGTACTACGTAATTAGAGTTGCCAAATCTCCGGGATTCAACCGGATAATACGATTTTACACATAAATCTAAGGGTTATGGGTTCAGTGGATTATTCTCCGGGACAAAATATAATATAATTTTGGTCGTCGTAAAATTAGTACCCACTACCTATTGTCGTAGTCTAAATTTAATATACAGAAAAGTTCTTCGACATGGACCAACAAGACGGCTAAGTTTGTTTCAAGCTGGTTCATCTTATTTTAAATGCCAATGAGAAGAATCATGTCATGAATCAAAATATTTACAAGACAGAAATGATCGATTTGTCACGTAAAATAACTTTACTGGAATTCTTTATATATATATATATGTTACCGGCAATATGGAGAATCGGGTATTTTACAAAATACCTAGGAATTATATAAAATGCCAAAAATCACTCGGAAATATACATAATACAAGCTTTGCCTAGGTATTATGTATAATGCTCAAGGTGGAGTAGGAAATATGATACAAATAAACAAAATTGGGTATCGCCTAATACCAGCGACTTTACTTACAAGTTATAGTTTATCGTGAATGCACGCACCGTGTCCGCGTGTGCACGATTTGGTGCAATGAAGATTGAAATTCTGAAGTTCTGAAGCAGTGATACGCCAGAAGTCAGTTCACTGTATCTCAAAAAAAAAGCTACTACAAATTTACAATGTTCCAACAGGCACAAAGTGGCGTTAAGAACAGTCGCAAAGGAACAGTCGACAGGAACTAGTAAATGATTTTTAAAATGTGTGTTGTATGATCAAGTATCAAAATAAAAAGTGCATATGCCTTAAAAATAATGTTTTTTTTGCACTTCAAAATTCCATTTTTCTACAACATGTAATAAAAAGTAGATAGTAGTAAGTAAAATGTATAAATAATAGTACTTAATATAACAATAATATTAATAATATAACAATAATATTAATAATATAGCAATACCTAAGAATAAAAATTAGATTTTGTAATATGAGTAATAATATATTATAATTATAAGAATCTTAATATAATATTATAACATATTATGATAAATTGTTTTTTTGCTTTGCCTAAAAAAAAATTGATATTTTACATAACGCCTAGGCATATCATAAAATACCTAGATTATATATAAAATAATATTTAAAATCATATGTTTTATTTACATTACCTAAAATGGGTCGGCAGTATACATAATGCCTAGGCATTTTTCAAAATACCTGAATTATTCATATTGTCGGTGACATACATATATACATAGATATACATAGCCCCAGGCCAGATCATCTGCAAACAGTTCAGCCCACATATGTCCCTACTCCCTACTATCTATAGTGGTTAATATATAACGAAAAATCGAGCAAGTGGGTAACGCTCTGCACTACATTAGGTGTCTAGAGAAGTCACTGTAATAATGGATGGTGTTGAATTTGAATTGAATTATGTGATATTATTGTAGTATACGAAAAACGATTCTGAGCAGTGCCAGTCTATCGGCCTAGAATATTTCATATTAGGTATATTTAAACTGCTATTAATAGCATACATATATATATACGGTAGCCATGTAATATGTATATAATACAACAAGTACGTAAACTAATAATCATAATCGCTGACCAAAATAATATATTTCAAATTTCAATATTACCAAAATAAATAATATTTCATCCAAATTTGAGCTTAAAATACCTATCTATAAAAGAAAAAGGAACAGTGTTTACAAATGTTTTAGATTACTTTTTGGAGACAGTTATAGACACTTGATAGTTGATACGTATTGATACTTATGAGATAGGTACCCGATGATATAGGCAGGTATACCTACTTATTTTTGAAACTATTGTGAATTTACCAATTTGACCTCTCGATAGTACCAACTAAATTCACTTTTCCATCAGAAAATGTATTGAAGTTGAAAATCGAACCATTATTTATACTGGAAAAAAATGTTTACAGACAGAAAAAACACACACATCATTGTAAAATCGATACCTATAGGTACATTTATTTCTCCGCTCAAAATCTAAAATAATAATTAATAATACAATATATTATAATATAATATGTACCAATATATAATAACACTCCCTTTAATATTTTTATGTACATACATTTAAACATGAGATTAACGTCGCATGATAGGTAACTATATACATTTAGATTAATGAATTTATACTTACATAATATTTTATATTATCGTAGACCATTTTTAAAGAGCTCAGTACAGGCAAGTTTCTAACTGCTCAAGGTTGTGCTTAAAGTTTGTTATCAATGATTATTATTTATAGTGTGACTGTTGTGTACGCACTTCGCACATGCAATCCATATCACCAACCGTTGGTCGACAAGATAAGCTCATATTTTTCACCAAAAAACATGTTTATTTGTTCATTATAATATTAATATGGTACTATATAGTTGGGAACTATATAGACCTTATACTTAGTAGGTACCTATTAAGTCTACGGTTGCCAGTAGGTAGGTAAAGACAAAACTAGAATGCAGAAATATAATATCTGAAATCATATTTAATTCGTATTGTTTTAAAAAGTTTACTAGATCCTCTCCTCGTAGCCTCACGTCACAGTTCCCACCCATTGACATTTTGTATAAAAGTTCTTACAGTTTTCATTGTTTAGTGTGTAAGGCCATAACGTCATATTGTCTCATATAGGTAGCCAGGTAGGTAAGGTATCTAATTAATAATTTTAGGTATTAGCAAGGACAAGCAGGCGTCATGTGGAACACTTTGCCCATAGGTACCTAGGTACATAATATTAAAGTTAGTAAATGAAAGTTCACAATAATTTTAGTTTGAAAAATTTTTAATTTTTATTCCTATGGTTTAATTACCCATTTGAGCATCAAATGTCACATAGGTACATTTTAAATTTTTAACAGAAATGAGCCTCTTAAAATAATTAAGGTACCTACCTACTTAAAAAAATTTACATGCAATTTTTTCGTCCAGAATACATTAATTTAGTCCTTTCAATATTAGGAATGGAATCCTTCGGAAAATCTTTACCTTGATAATAATATAACCTAAGCACCTTCAGTCTTCGCATTTCCTGAATAATTTGAAACATTAATATTTTAATGTGCATTGGTTCTCATATTTTTAGTGATTTTTTAAAACTATAAAATAATTCAACAACAATAATTTATTGACAGCCATATTCAACTCTAATAAATTGCATGTAATAGGTAAGCACTGACAAAAATAACCTCGGAGTAAAATTATTTTTTCACCAATTGGGTTTTTTTTACAAGAAAAATGTATCTTAAAGATGATTGACTGCTCTTACAGCCTGTTGCTATAGTTATTTCAACCAAAATTATAGCTTTTAAGCTCTTTTACTATATAGGTTGTGGGTATATATTATTAAATTACAAAATATTATTTCATACATTTTAAGACCCAGTTATTTTCTGTAGGTAGCCTAATAGGTAGCTTATTAATTATATAAATAGGTATTCCAGTGGCGTAGCCAGGGGGGAGGCTGAGTGGGCTGCAGACCGCCCC